ACGTCAGAGCGTGTTACAATTCATCCAGCCTAGTGACGTGAGCAGTGACAACGATCTCGGGGCGACAGTGAGAGCCATCAAAGGATGAGCCCACCGAGGGCGAATAAGTGGTGTAATCGCCCGTGTTTGTTTTAGCTCATCCGTCGAGACCGGCCTAAACATACAAATACGAAACTGCGGCGCCGCCGCGGCTTTCAAGATGGCGTCTGATAGAACCCCCGAGTTGAGATGTTATTTCAAAACAGAAGATTATTATTTTAGTGGCGCGGTAGGGGGTAAAGGTGTGTGTGTTGGGGGGGGGGGGGGCTAGAGAGAAGTACTTTTTGTTACAATTACTTTTTTTCTAAGACGGAGGGGGCGTGAAGAAAGGAGACAGGTTGCGCTGGGTTGGGGGTGAGGAGTTGAATAAATTGATTGTTATCCTAGCGCATTACTGGATGTTTCTAGAACGTCCAAGAGGCCCTGATAGTTAGAGTGTAGCGTATTAACACACGGGAGATAACCCGCGTTATGTTCACGTGTTATTTCCCCATTTTTGTGATGAAAATGGGAGGTAAGTACCCAGGAGGAGATAACTTACGGAGAAAAGCAGGAGAGGGGCGTAATTTAAAAAAATAAAACATTAACTCGTATTTTGTGAATATGTTGCGGCGTTGAGCTCAAGTCTGGAAAGTTAAAATAAAATTCTGTTTTTCAGCTTATTCTTCCAATATTTCATCCTTTAAAAAAAAATAAAAAACCGCCGTTGACACACACACAAACACCAAAAAAAAAAAAACTCCAGTTTCGTTTTCCATCTCCTTTCGTCAGATATTTCGGCTGCTCATTCGACATAAATCTTCGCCAGCGCCTGAAAGCAATTTCACTTTTCCCAACTTTTGGTGGGGGTTTTGGGTTGTTGTTTTTTTTTTTCCCGTTCGGTGTTTTTGTTCGTCCGATCTTCTTGTTTCCCAAAAGCCGAGGAGTAATGCGTCATTTCCTGTCTTTTTGGCAGATGCATTGTGGTGGGGCTTGAGGAAGAATGTTGATAACTTCGTAAATATGTCGCGACCAATATTTTTTAACTGTGCGGGGAGTTGGTTAGTGTGCGGTGTTGATTTACACAAGCAAATACGTGTCTTATATCATCAAATATCACGATATATACGGCTAACGTTCTAACGAGAATATATCATAGAATAATGTAGTTTAATTTTTGAACAGTTTTTTTTTTGGCAAGTATCAATTAACTTGTCTCAAAACGACGCTAGTATCGCCGATAACAATACTACGAACCTAAATCAAACTCCAAATATTAGCAAGTCTTAATACGTCGCTAGAATCGTTGATAACGATACTACGAACCCAAATATAACTCCAAGTATTAGAAAGTCTCAACCGCAGTTACTGCTATTCTTAATCTGGATACTTATATTCACTTGTATTCGCTTTTATATCACTAAATTGTAAAACTGTGTATAAAAATATCTTTAGCGCGCATACTAGGGCTTGTGCGATAAATAAAAAGCAGTTCACAAATACAAAAATACATTCCTTTTTTTTTTTAAACTTTTTTTTAGTATTTCAAATTTTTTTTTCTAGCGTAAATCTGTTTTGATGCTTGCAAAACTTGTTGAATCTCTACCTTTCTTGTTGTTTTTATTAAATATTTCTGTACTTTTTTTCTAACAATGCGGAGGTTCTAATGTTGTAACTACCCACCCCCATGAATGTATGTACCTCCAGTACAGTTGGAGACTAGATTTAGACAAAGTTCTGTATTTTTAAATTGTTGTAACTGTTGCATTCTTTCTTGTGTAGAGGGTCGGGCATGGTTTCACTTAAGTCTATACCCTCATGTTCCCAGAGTCTGAGAACCCTTAAGTTACTTACTTCAATAAGATGTATGGCAGTAGGCTGTTATAGTCTTCCTCTCCATACCAAACTTTTTATTGCAAACAGCCCACGTTGTAACAACCCGTCTCTAGTTGTTTCTGCCCCACTCCCACATCCTCTGTCTACCCCCCCCCCCCCCCTCAAGCAATAACCGGTGGCAGGGAGTACTCACGCCGCCGCCATCTTGGTCTGGCTAACCGCTGTGTGCCGTGATCGCAGTTTGACGTGATGAACGGCTCTTTAAAAAATGATTTCGCCCCCGTGCAGTCCCGAGAACTTGGGTTACAAAACACGGCCTAGCCAGGCCGCAACACTTAGCACTCAAAGGGAGAGAAATGTCTGAAACTTAAAACATACATTTTCAACTGCTTGAGAAATGTCTGAAACTTAAAACATACATTTTCAACTGCTTGAGAAATGTCTGAAACTTAAAACATACATTTTCAACTGCTTGAGAAATGTCTGAAACTTAAAACATACATTTTAAACTGCTTGAGAAATGTCTGAAACTTAAAACATACATTTTCAACTGCTTGAGAAATGTCTGAAACTTAAAACATACATTTTCAACTGCTTGAGAAATGTCTGAAACTTAAAACATACATTTTCAACTGCTTGAGAAATGTCTGAAACTTAAAACATACATTTTCAACTGCTTGAGAAATGTCTGAAACTTAAAACATACATTT